ACCCCAACTTTTGAATTTTTTTATTTTTATTTTTTAAATTATGTTTGGTATTGATTGAAATCTAAATTTTAATTTAAATTAAAGTTAACAATTAATTCTAATAACATATTTCATGAAATCCATAACTATTTAATTTTTATCAAAATTTACTAAAAAATTGATTTTAATATCTACCAAATAGGGGCAAAATCACAATAAATTTGAATTTCAATAACAAACTAATTTTAAAAATTCTCCAACAATCGTACGTTAATCGATTCTACAAATTGTTTATGTCATTTTAAATCTTATTTCAAGAACTACATTATGTACAGATCGAATAGTCCAAACAGATATCGAAAATAGTTAAAAATACATTAAACGCGAGTCTTAAAAAAAAACGCCTAACTCATATTTTTTTTAAAAAAATACCGAGTTAGTGCAGAGGAGTGGTGGCTTGTGGGGATGAAAGTGGTTGCTCTACTGGCTGAGCTTCCTGAAAGAGGTGTGGGAAGGTGGATATGGATTTTGATCATTACTGCATTTTGATTATGCTTCTTGATTTCATTAAAAGCGCAATTGTGTGGGGGTGATGGCCGGCGGGTGGTGGCGACGACGGCGACAAGTGTGTGGGTGAGTAGGTTTTCTCAAATGGGTCCTTGGGAGGGGTAGGGGGCGATAGGGAGTTGGGGTGGGAAGAAGATAACATGTGTAGGTGATTGGGTGGGGGGTGGGGTGCGGATTCTTTTTATTTACTTATTTCAATCAAGTTATTTAGTAAAAATATAAATTTACTATTTTACCATTTTTAAAGTTAGTCAAAATATTATTAAAGTCAACTTTTCTGATTAACTAACACAAAAAATGGATGAAACTAATTTATTTGTCTTACGATTGCAATCAATTGAAAGGTTTGAGACTACAATTTTTTCTTACTTTGAAGAAAAAGGCTAGTTGTACAGCATTTTTGTACATGAAGTTACACAGCCCACTCACATGGAGTGGGCCCCTCATTTTTGTGGGGCCTACTCCATGTGAGTGGGCTGTGTAACTTAATGTGTACAAAGGCTGTACACCAAGCCTTGTTCTACTTTGAATAGGATAAAAGATGCAATCAATTGAAAGGTTTGAGACTGCAATTTTTTCCTATTTTGTCATTAATAACTACAAAGAATTGACGTGTCTCACAACATCAAGTTGGCAAAGTTTTAATTTGTAAATAATTTATAAATTGTCAAATTTTATTTTCAATAACATATTGACAAATATATATTATTTATTTATCGACCACTCATTCTATGTATTTATTAGTAATTAAATTATTATAAATATTTACCGAATGGAAGCTAATGACTATCTAGTTATGTTTACTTCAAGCACACCGTAT